AGATATTTAAACGTAATGGGGAATGAGCATGAATACCAACCTGCTTTCAATTTACCCACAATAGTGTCTTATACTGCTGTAATTACACCACTGAGCTCTGTCATACGGGCAGGAAAAAAAAGATGAATTCCATAATAGCTTCACTTCTTTTAGGGTTTTACACTGCTGTTTCTTTCACTTACCTCAAACAGGTCTGATGGGTCTGGTCCTTAAGAAACAAACTGCCTGAATTTCCTGGGAAGGTTGTTTCCCCAGCGCATCGCTCCGCAGGCTGTTTGCAGCAGAAGCTGACACATAATTCAGGACAGAAAAATATGTCTAATAGTTTCCTGGGAAGGTTGTTTCCCCAGCGCATCACTCCGCAGGCTGTTTGCAGCAGAGCTGACATGTAATTCAGGACAGAAAAATATGTCTAATATCCAATTTCAGTGTCACCACAGTGCTTTTACTTGATTACATCTAAGTTTTTTGTGAATCGAATCTTTTAGGTAGAAGAAAGATTCACTTTAAACTTCAGAGACCTTTTGAAAATTATAATGCTTTAAAAAGAAAGGATAAGTACATTTAGTTGGATTTCTCAGTCTGAACAAATTCCTAGACAGAAATAGAGCTGAGATTATTGCATTTTCAAATATTCATACAGAAAAAAATGTATTACAAAAATAATCAAAAACATCAAACAAATGGAGAGCTGTTGACAGTCTCTCTACTGAAAACACAGAAGACATTAAATTTGGTCAGCTGTAAGAATATGAAGACAGGGTCAGGACTGCAGCTGCCAAAATCAAAAATATAGAATATTAAAGGTACGTTTCCACAGACAAATGAGAATTTTGACAGCAGATTTCAAGGCAATGCAGTCTGTTTTACTGTTGACCATGATCTATGCTTCATAATGGAGAAGAAAAGAATAATCTCTGCAACATTTATCAAACTGAAGCGTAACACTAGATTATCTATTTGTTGTCCCTCTAGAGCATGGAACCAAAAACTCACAAGCAGTAGCCAAAACAAGGTTGGATCAGACACAGATTTGTTTTCACTGAGAAGGCTCTCTGTAGTCTTTTTATTTTATTTTTTTTCTTCATAAAACAAAACAATAGACTTATTTGAAGGATCATGCCCTAAAAAGAGTCTCAAATTCTGCAGTTTCCTCAGTTAGCCTCCTGGGAAAACGTGTGGCACGATAGACTTATTTGAAGGATCATGCCCTAAAAAGAGTCTCAAATTCTGCAGTTTCCTCAGCCTCCTGGGAAAACGTGTGGCACAGAGTTTAACCGTAATCTTCTGGAATACAGTCAAATTGCCTGCTTGTCTCTTCATAAATACCTGCTCTGCAGATCTGGCCCATATACTCATCCAGGAGCTGAGTGGATTTTGTTCTCAAGGATTTAATCCAGTTAAAGAGATTAATGCAGATAACAAACTCTTACTGCTCCCCACGGCACGTGGGGAAACCTTTGGTAAGAGGAGATGACTTTCACAGACCAATGTCTTCTTCACTGCACGTGGCTGTCTATTATAGTTTAACAACATTAAATACAAGAGGGTATATGAATCTATGTAGTTAGTGTCAAAATGCAAAAATATGACATGACCAAAACATTAAAATGCCTGTCATTCCTGAATACAGTTAGCCAGTCTTGTATTTTAAATAAGGAGAATTTTTTTTCCTCTCTTTTTTTTGATAAACATTTTCCCATATCAAAAATGATTAACACAGTCTGCCCCAAAAGACAGAGAAGTCTGAAATAATCTCATGACACTCTGCCTAAGAATGGTGGAGGTCAAGGTACAGAATCAGGACCATCTATCCTCAAAGATGACCTAGTCTAGAACTCAGAGTCCAAAAATTATCTTTATCAGAACTGCCTTATTTATTCTCTGTTAACCAATTATTTACCTTTATGAAGACTTTCCTATGGCTGATTACCCTTAAAATACTTTGACAAGAAACTGTCAAAAACCTTCTGGATGTCTAAATAAACTGGAAATAAAAGAGACTGCTGATAACCACATGGCTGCTGACACCCTCCAAAGACTCCAGTAGGTTTGTTAATAGACTTCCATTCATAAAAGTCATGCCGTGTCTTCTCAAGTGTATTTGATTTATCCACGTACCCATTAATTGTATTTTTACTGTAGATTCTAAAAAAAACACCCTGTTGATAAAGATATTGGGCTTACAGGCCCACAGGACACCAGAGTGATATTAAAGTCTGCAGGATCTCAGCTGATTCTTCTTCCTCTGTAACTAGAGTAGTGCAATTTCAGACAACAGGGCACTGATTAACCGTATATTTAAAGAAAACCCCTATTTTATCAGACTAGATATTTTGTGTGTATATTTAACATATATGAAAAATGCAACCACTTAACTTTAACTATTATATTGCAGAAAATCCTAACGTTTGGTTTTGAGCAAATGATACAAACCCCAGATTTTCCAGACTGGTCAACCTCAAGTCCTGCCTTTCTCCTCTTCTGTTAGATAAACACAATCTTGATTCAGAGAGGCCAGGATCACGGTCCTCTTCTGCATCATCCCCCAAACTGCTTTAAATGACACAAACTCCACGTGAGGTTCCAGCTTGCTGCACGTGTGACACATCTGCTCTGCCATCACGTTGCCTACATTGGGAAGGGAAACTACGAGTCACAGAATCATAGACTGGTTTGGGTTGAAAGGGACCTCAAGGACCATCTCATTCGACGCCCCTGCCCTGGGCAGGGACACCTCCCACCAGACCAGGTTGCTCCAAACCCCCTCCAACCTGGCCTTGAACACCTCCAGGGATGGGGCAGATTCTATGATCTTCTCTTCTAAGCTGAAGATAATCCACTTCTCTGCCAGGAATGAGCTCTCTCTGCACCAACAGAACCACTCACCTTCTGCCATCATTGCCAATAACTGTTACTTACAGGAGCAGCCCTCTGCAGGGTTGGGATCCTCTGCAGATCATCTGAAAGAAACAGAAACTAGTGTTAAAAATCTCAAAATTCAGAAACCACTGGAGCTCTCCCCTCTTAAAAAATACAAGTCTGAAGAATCCACGTGGGACAGAAAGAGCTGTAAAATATATTAAGTGCTTTGATTTTGTTCTTTTCAATTGATATCTACCCAAAATGGAGGCAGTGCTGAAATGTGCTGTCACCTGGAGACATAAATCAGTTTGCTGCCCTACAATATCTATTTGTGGGTTTCTGTGCAACCTAATGGAAATAAAATTGTGCTTATATTTAAGAGAGAGCTTTTATAAACACCACCTTTCCCTCCCCTCCTGGGATGAAATGCATTACAGCCTGCCCTTTTATGACTTAGCTGAATAGAGCTGTGTTCTTCACAAAACCAGCTGCATTAATACATGTAGTAACCCTGAACTGAATAATTGAAAAATACGTCGGGTCTTAACAATAGAAAGAACTCTATACATTTTTGCCATTGATTATTATAGGAAGAACAGCACAGGAATGTGCTTTTCTATCTATTACACCAACGGGAGGTGACTTGCAACCACAGGAGTATTCAATAAGTATCATCAATGCATGTATATTCCAATTTAAATAACTGCACTATGCCAAGACTAATTGCAGAATGATATGGGGTTGGAAGGGACCTCTGGAGATCATCTAGTCCAACCCCACATTTGCATCTATTATTGAACTCAATACATTTACAGATAGATTCCCAATTACAGTAGGAATCCTCATTTTATTTTAGCTCCTGTGACAAAAAAAAAAAATAATTAAAAAATATCATTAACTATTTAGAAGCGTGAAATTAGCAAATAGTTTCAGTCCCTCCTGCTTTTAACCATATCACCCAACTAGATGATATACTGGACTCAGGAATGATGTTAGCTTAAAAATTCCCTTTGTCTCTACCCCTGCTGTGGACACTCCACCCCATGTCCACCGTGCACTTCTCTCTGGCCTAAATCACACTGATTAAATGGTTTGTGTGCTTGTGCTGGAAACAGACAGACTGATACGACCCTGCTGAGAGAGAAAATAACCTTCTACAAACAACAAAGAAGAGGTGATATGGGTAGGGGAAAATGGGTGGGAAGGATTTCTAACTCAAGCAATTTTTGGATGTTTTGTAAGATGTATTATTGATGGGCTTACTAAACTGGGAAGAAGATGCAGATCAGAGAATCTAGTGCTGGGAACTTCTCAATTTGGAATTTTCATGGAACTACACCCTTTTGTACAGCAAAAAAAACAGCTGATCTACAATTGGTTTTCTTGTTTCTGCAGAGCACAACAGCCACAGGTTTAGACCGAGCACCGAAGAGTCTACAGCAATCAAGATCCATGCGACCTACCTCAGGTTAAATCAGCTTGAGCTGTCAACAAACAGCAGAGTCTGGAATAAACCAAACACATGAAGACGTTGAAGTGAATCCATTGCGATGGGCGTGCGGTGCTCCGGGAACCTCCTCTGCTCCCCCAGCTCCTGCTGCTGCTGAGGGAAGTGTTTGCCACGATGGCACGTGTTCTCACCAGGAGCACACAACCACACTATGGAACTGTCCTTCGTTTAGTCTTCCTTAGCGATACCGTGCTAATTGGCACAGCTATGGATTTCTCTTAACCATTTATAGGACTTTACCTGTGCGTGGTTTGTAAAGGTACAGGACAGAGGAAACTGTGTCATGAAAGGGGATAAGAATATCAGTCTTTAGAGTTTGGGTTTTATTTTTTAAAAAAATTATTCATCACACTAAGAATTTTTTGTCACAGATCTGACAAAGACATATTCTATAATTAACATAACATCTCCAGAGTATTATATTTTAAATTTTACTCTTTGTTCTCATAATTTCCTGCTAAAGGAACTATCTCCTCAAACATCTAAAAGTAGGTTGTACCAAAACCACATAATGCTGAGAAGAGTCCTCCAAAAGCAAGGACGAGAGAAGGGACAAGCTTCTTCCATGTCTGGTTACAGGGATTTGTCCGTAACAGGCAAAGAAAAAACTACACAACACGAACAATTAATAAGTACACAAAGTACACAAGTGTGTTTATTACATTTTTGCAAGCACTTTGTTCTACATTTCAAAAACGCCACCATCAAGCTGTTGGCACATTTATGTACAAAACAGATTAATCGTAATGCCTGCTACAAAGCATTCTTTGTGAAAATACAAACTCTAATAACCAGAGAAGAGCCAAAAGCATTAACATCATTACATGAGTTTAAAAGACATAGTTTTAAAAATCAGCACAAACGTTTGAAGACACGAAACTGAAACACTACAATATAGAATCCAAAAAGAGGTTCCTACTACTTTTTGCAGAACTGTAATACCGGTACTGCACATTATCAGAAAACTGTTGACCCCATAGGACAGCCTAAGTGTAAAAAAAAACCCAAACCAAAACCCAAAAACAAAACCCAAAACCCCAAATCAAAAACACAACCAAAAAACCCCAAAACAAGCAAAAGAAAAAGAAAAAAAAAAGAAAAATTCAATCAACTAATACTACTTAATGCATTATCATGCCACAAGTAACTATAGTATTACCCTCTACTTACTACAAGAATTGTTAAAAATTACTGATGATGCATGACTAGTAATAGTACAAAGAAGAGTTTTACTCAAGAAGTTTTATTAGAAATGCACTTACACCGAGAGAGAATTCACAATGGCCCAATAAGTGCACAAAACTACCTAAGATTTGTTTAACACTGACAAAAATGTCTTGTCAGGCTACATCACTTTAAAAGACACTTTACAGCATTCTTGTAGCATTAGAAATAGGCAAAAAAAAAAAAAGAAAAACTCTACCAAATTTGGTCCAATAATACTGACTTTTCTTAAATAGGGTTTTTTGTTTTGTTTTTGATACAGGTAATTCTTTCAAATTAAGATGATTTATCTTTCTGATAACATTTTCCTATCAAAATAAAGTTTCAAATATATTACTACACTTTCAAATAATAAGCTCTGTAGTGTTTTTCACCTTACTTTAACATAGTACAGGTAAACCGATATGTGTAGGAAAGCTAGAAGCCAAGCTATAACATTTATGGAAGTCTCCTTTAATATATCTTTTACAGCTCAGACAGGTGCAATCCATTTAAATTTTTAAAGCAGGTAAAAAGACATCTGACTCCTACGGTCACTGTATTTTTGATATATTACTTTCATAAATGTAGCTAAGCAGTAATTTCTTACATCGTCACATGAACAGCTCCAATTTAGCATAACCATCATTGAATTAAAGAGAGATCATTCTGTAAAAAACTATGGATAACTATATCACTTAATTAACAGTTGTCTATATACCATAACTCTTTAACAGGTAGCCGTGGTATTGAATTCCTTCAAAAGGCAAGTGGCCATGCATTGTTAGCACCACGGTCTGCATGCTCACAATACAAACAGGAATTATCACCCATGGAACTTGGAACAAGAGAATATTCTTTAAAAACATCGATAATAATACAATGTTAACAAAGATAAGAAGCACTTTTTAATTTTTTTTTTCTTTTTTTCTTTTTTCTCTTTTTTTCTTTTTTTTTTTTTTTTTTACCCACTATTACAAATTTAGAAATTGCACCTTTGATTGTTTAAAACGTTCTTAGGACCTTCATTCAAGTTGATCAGGGTCCATCTGGCAAGTTTTCCAAATATAAAGGAAAGTCATCAGAATGTTTTCTTTATATATTGTACGTCGCGTACAATGGTCCCTTTGAAGTATACCTGTAGTTAAAGTAGTTATTGAACTCAAAACTAAAAAGTATAAAAAGCTACTTCTTTTTTTCTTCAAAAACATATAAGAAACAATGCAAAAGGTGTTATGCATAACACATACAAAGTGATTAAAAAAATCAAACACATATTTGTATTTGACAATAGTTTAGTATCCTTGATCTAGCAGAACTAATTAGCTTAAAAGGATTCAGGAAAGGCTATTTAGGAGCTCTGTGGCAGAGAATGGTTACACAAAGTAAGAACTAATTAAGAAACCAAGTGCTAGACAACCAAGAATTGTACATGGGCGATGTGTGAGTCACCCCAACTATCTTTTGTGAGAAGCACTTTCAATTGTTTTTAAGATGGTTGGATGGCCTTTAGTTAAACAACAAAGCATTCACGTGTTAGGAAGTAAGACAAGGTTTCTCTTATGTGTAAGCGTTGAGCCGCTCTTTAGAGCGAGTAGAATGAATGTCATGAAGCTCTTGCTCCTCCTTTGATTTAATATCCTCGTATTTTTGCATTCTGCAGGCGTCTTTCACGTAGGCCCAGTTGGCAGACAAGACCATGAGATAATGGACCTGTAAGAGAGGCAACAGGGAGTTAGGAACCCACAGCGCTGATCAGAGTAGAGCACCTTCCAACTGGAAAGTTCTGGGATGGAGCTTGGGTTTCCGTCAGAAGGAACCCAACTTTGTCAAGTCAAGAAGAAGAACAGCAACATGATGTGAAGTTCAAGCTGGAGCTTCATTAATCCTCAGCTTATGCAGCTCACTGCTGTTCCTCTTCCCACCACTCGCAGTTGGGAGCAGTGGTTGGGAATAAAAGAACCAAGAAATTAATGCATCATCCCTGTTTTACCATTTCAGCTGCTCTGCACATCTACATGGAAAAAGGCCCCTGGTAATTTCTTGCAGGCTTTTCCTCATTGAATCACTATTTGTTAAAGGAGCTGCTTAAGAGAGAAATACACCATAGACTCATCTGTGGTCTTACAGTTACGTATCTAATACAATTACAGAAAGATTTTCTTTTTCTTTCATCTTAAAGTTAGCATTAGCTTTCCATTTAGCCATGATTTCTTTCTTTCATCTACAACCCTATTTCGTTAAAACCAGCTAATTTGGCAAAAGCTTTTCCAAAAACTGAAACGTATGTTCAACTGGGTAAAATATAGATACACATAAACTTGAGGTCTTAAAAGGGCACACACCTGTCACCATTTAATTTAGTAATTTTATTTCGCTGTTGTATTAGTGATACCACAATTTATTTATGCCATTCTTTGAAATGGGTAGAAAACTAAAAAGTGGTTTGAGTTATTTTCAAAAGACAACTTCTGTAGACATCTTGAATGGAGCAAAAACAGTGTTCGTGTTCCATGTAAATTTTTGAAAAGGTAAAAATACACTCAATTATTTTCTTAAGACAACAAAATTAAGAGTTTTCCGAGTATTCCATTCACAAACAAAATTTCAAAACATCTGAAAAGGAGGGGAAAAATCCTTATTAGTGAGTATTGGAGATTGGACCTGACTCACTTGCAGCCAACATGAATCACCGGGTGAGCCACGATGATACACACCCAAAGAGCCTCGTTTACTCGTGTCAGCGAACGGGGAGGACAGAATGTCTATGAATACATCTGAGGATTCAATGCCAATTAAAGGCTATTGGCAATATTGTCACACATGAACAAATGTTTTTCATTTGGCTTTGAATAAATTTAATCTGAAAGTCAGTGAAAGATATCTGACCAGCAGAAAAATTATGTTCTGCAAATGTTTTCCATTATAAATAGAGGATGTAAAACACCCTAATTGCATTGGAGATGGAGATTAGTAGTCTATAAAAATCGCATGGTGTGGCTGCCCATGACTGAGCTTAATGACCAGGAGATGTCCTGTCTTCTGAATGGTGGCAATGAATGATTAAACAAGTGATAAATTTTAACACAACACCAATACAGGGAATGAAGCTGAGTCCTCCCAGGAACTGCTGCCAAAAATACAATAGCTGGTGAGGGGTCTGGAGCATGAGTCTTGTGAGGAGCAGCTGAGGGAGCTGGGGATGTTCAGCCTGGAGAAAAAGAGGCTGAGGAATATGAGGAAAAATTTCATCACTGAAAGGGTTTCCAAACCTTGGAAGAGACTTCTCAGGGCAGTGGTGGAGTCACCATCCCTGGGCAGACGTGGTGCTGAGGGACATGGGTAAGTGCTGGATTTAATATGAGGAAAAATTTCATCACCGAAAGGGTTTCCAAACCTTGGAAGAGACTTCCCAGGGCAGTGGTGGAGTCACCATCCCTGGGCAGACGTGGTGCTGAGGGACATGGGTTAGTGGTGGGTTTGGAAGTGCTGGGTTGATGGTTGAGGAGTCACCATGCCTGGAGGTATTTAAAACCTGGGCAGACGTGGTGCTGAGGGACATGGGTAAGTGCTGGATTTGGAAGTGTTGGGTTGATGGTTGGACTCAATGACCTTAAAGGTCCCTTCCAACCTTGATGATTCTATTCTAAACTTCCTCCTTCAGAGGCAGTCACATGCTTTCTCCATTCAGTCATTTTTTGGAGCTAGTTTCCTTAGTCTTCATGCTTGTGGCCACCTACAGTATAAAGTCTACTTTGGCTGCCTGTTGGAGCAACAAACTTCTCTCCTGTCCACTTCAGCTTCCCAGCTCTGGGCCTTTCAGGATATTCATAGGCTTTGAAAGCTTTCCTTTCAAAGGTGGACCTCAAACGTCCCACTTTCAGTCTGATGGATCTCCTTGCAAGGAGCCTTTGACTTCTCAGTACACACTCTGTTGGGCTCTGTATTCAGCCAGAAAATAAAAATATTCAGTAATGATATTCAACTGGTTTATTCCAGGTCTCTCTGGACATTTATTCCTCCCCTAGCAGGCTTTCAGGTACTTTCTGATGAGAGCATCTCTTATAGTTATGCTAATCAACTGCCTCAGAGGTCACAGATAATTTCCTGAAACCAAAAAGATTCCACCTCCTCCTAAGAAATAGAAAAACTAACCTAGGATTCAATTAGTGGAAAATGGAATAGAGCAATTTTAAAACGCCTTAAGATTATGCAAATTCTGTTGAAACCAGACGGCTGTAGGTATATGAGTACCTTAGATTCATACTAAATGAACAGAACCAATTTATTATGTTTTTTCTTTGGGGGAAATGGCAGTGTTGGCTTTTTCCACAAACGTTTGGTGGCAATTGTTGCTGATTAGTGCAGGCTAATGTTCGTTTCTTAATCTGGCTAATTAAGATTGAGGAAAACGTTCTGAAACCCTTCAAAAGACCAAATATTTTTGGTGTCTTTTTTTTTGTCCTGGTGCTTTATGGCAAGTTTGGGGAACACAGTCTGAGTTGAGGAGCCAGAATATAGAAAGAAGTGTTCAGAGAACCTGTCCTCCTGGAAAAAGACCACGGATAGTGGTATTTCTACGTATCTTCCCGAGTTTCTTAATATCTCTAGTCCAACCCTGGCAGCACAACCTGTGATGGCAGCACAAGTGCTGGAGATGGCAGCATGTACTATGTTACCCTGGGACACATCCTGGCCATAATTTAGGGCACAAGACGAAGAAATGCCTCATAGCTAACTCAGCTGTTCGAAAAGATTTCACTGGAATAGGCATTTCTAGATCAAAAGAGAGAGACTAATGCTGAATCCTCATTCTGATGAATGAAACGCCTTAAAATTCCTCTACGGTAAAACTCTATGGAAAAAATGCAAAGAAACAGGCTGGTAATCTTAAGAATTCTGGCATCTCAGAAAATTACAATTTGCATCCAATGAAAATATCAGTCCTTTGCGGGTAAGATTTAAATTAAAAAAATATAATCTGAACCTCAAACAGACTGTAGACACGAGAATCCCAGAAGTGGGGGGAGCATCTGAGCAGCGCACTCACACCTTCCTGATCTTTTGAAACACATCTGTCTGAAAACCCTGCAGCTGAAGAATACGTGATGAAAATGGGACCGTGTAGGCACATTTATTATCCTCACAAAATATTTGGTAACGACACAGTAAGAGACAAATTTTAACTTAATGCCTTGCAGGTGCAGTTGGCATTTTTCTTCTACCAAAAAAAGTAGACAAACTGTTCTGCAGGTGCGTTGGCCACAGTCTGACCTTCATCGGACTCCCATTCTTCACCCAGCCCTTCCTTAAAAACTCACAGACCCAAACTTCTGGAGTAACTGCTGAAAACTCTCGGAGTTCACAGTCTCTATGAGTAGGATGGCTTTCCTGGAAACAACTGCTTTAGCTTCTGTAATGAATATAATCTCAAATACATGTCCACACTATATAATGGAATATATGTTTAACAGGGCCACCACCTCTTTTTTGTTTAACACCAAGTTCCTAGACAACATCATCACACTAAGGAGGTCATCTCTAAGTGGCTGTCTAATTGTGTTTTGCAATCCCATGACCTGAGTATTTTTTCATTAAGAAGTCTTGTTAAATTTCATAATCCTGGAGATCTGCTGCCGTTGTGGATATATACAAAAACTAACTTCATTAAATCATATTTATGATTATTCCTTCAACAGCACGTTGATTCATTTTCCCTCCCCTAAATTGCTTCTTTCTTGGGAAAGCAAACTCTTCTTCCCCATCCCTTGAGGTGTCCAAGGCCAGGTTGGAGGGGGCTTGGAGCAACCTGGGCTGGTGGGAGGTGTCCCTGCCCAGGGCAGCGGGGTTTGGAAAATCAATTGAATTATTAATATTAATTATATTCTACGGTTATACCTATTATTTGTGGTCTTGAAATAAAAATTAGATTGAAAAAATATTTTTTTTGTTTAGCTAGTTCTGCTGTCTTGGCAGGGTGTCATTTAATACTGAAAAAATGGCAGAGAAAAACAAACAAAAAAATCACTAATGCAACAGGAACACTAGTTTCATGGAATATTCACTGATTTTATTTTTTTATAACTTTAATTCTAAGGAAAATGAAAAATTTATGGCGCTGGGATTCAACGAAAAGTTTCTACTAGCAGTAGGAATAGAAATCACCATCATGAACACTCTTCTCACAGAATGCATCAGTACCAAGTAACAGTCAATTCTCATTTCCCATTCCAGAGTTCCCATTCCACACAAAACCACACTGGCACAGAATCCCCATTCTAAAAAGACCTTTAAGGTTAAGCAGACACCACAAACAACAGGTGGAAGAGCAGGGCACCGGCTCACACACTTTTTATCTCAGTGGAACATTTTCGTTGGCAAAACGTCATCAAATTCAAAGTAATTTTCATTATACAAAAAATTAGTCCTGACAGAAAAACTGACGCGTTCACAGAAATTAACTAGAAATTAGCAATTCAGAAGACAGTTGAGTGTTGGGTGGCTTACCATGGCGATGACCGCTGCGCCAGCTCCAGCAAGAGCCACGATGAACAAGTGGAACGTCATGTTTAGCTGCAAAGGGGGACAAAGAAAAGGACTTTTCGTGGTCGTTCCATAAGCAGAAACTGAACAAAATAACATAGAGCAAATAACTACCTTCCTGGTGCTGCCCTTCTACAAGAGCAATGATTAATATTACTTTTTCTAAGAGGCTGACATCAGTACGTGATGTTGTGCTTGTGCCTGTTGTGTTACAATACTCATATCAGGGATAATGCATCATTCTAATTCAAAATATTCTACTTAAATTATAAAATATTTAAAAACTTATTATTTCAAAATAAACCATCCAGCACTTATTTTTATTTATTTTTTTATTTCAGTTACAACACTACTTTACTAGATCTAGAAATGTTTGCAGTGGTTTCTCTAGTGGCAGAGACAGCCCAAGAGAACCCCGCTCCCCTTCGTTAGCTGTAGCTTTCCACCTTCATATATTGATTACTTACCTCCCAAATATGCCCGTAAAAATCTATTCATAGTGATATAATATAAGCCAGGTTAATTAAATAACGCAAGTTAACCACCTTCACAGCAAGGGTTGCATTTTCTTTGATGTTTTTGGTACAAGGGCAGGTCGTGTACCTTCACCCTAAGATTTATTCAAACACAGTAAGACCCAGTGAAACATTTAGCAAAGCAGCCTCTGACTTCAAAGGCGTAAAGATTTTAGTGTCTCTTTTTGTTCTAGAGAGATGTAACTTTGTTTGTCTTGTCTTCATCCCTGATCATTTAAAAACAGGCCCCAAAACCTCTGCTGCACTGAAATAGGTGGCATTTGCTTAAGGGGAAAGTAATACAAGGACTGCACTGGGATTTATTATCCTAATTTTGTGTGAGATTTTGGTCAAATCCATTTGAAAGCCCTTACTCTCCTGTCACAACAGTAATCACCAGAATTTCAAACAGTGATTCATTTTACAGACCGATTCATCGTGCAGCAGGTGCATTAGCTTTCAAAAACATCTCAGTAAAAATATAGATGACAATGGAATTCTTAAAAAGAAATACAAATGCAAGTGTATTTCGAAAACAATGGCTGGGGAAATTGCACTGACTAAAATTGGTACGTGGTAAAAGACTAGGAAAAGTACTATCTGACTGGATTTTCCACGATTAGCTTTCAAAAACATCTCAGTAAAAATATAGATGACAATGGAATTCTTAAAAAGAAATACAAATGCAAGTGTATTTCGAAAACAATGGCTGGGGAAATTGCACTGACTAAAATTGGTACGTGGTAAAAGACTAGGAAAAGTACTACCTGAGTGTATTTTCCACTGGGATTTTATGTCATCACCATAGCTAGAATACTCTTACAATAAGATTAAGAAAAAAAGCACACTCCAGTTACTACCTACGATAACACACAGTATGGGGAAAAGTACTATCTGACTGGATTTTCCACGGGGATTTTATGTCATCACCATAGCTAGAATACTCTTACAGTAAGAGTAAGAAAAAAGCACACTCCATTACTACCTACAATAACACACAAAATTTTGACAAAAATAGGGTCACGTTTATTCACCTCATTCGAGTCACACATCTTGAAGAAACTTTCTGATGAGGTGCAAACCTTCTTTTCCTCTCCAATAGTTACGATACCTGGAGCAAAAGAAATATTGACAGCATTTAGTATTCCCAGTACAAAGCAACTTACTTCCTATGAGCCAAAAAAGCTAAGAAATACAGATTGCAGAACCCTTTTTAACAATGAATTCATTTTTCTTTGTTGCTACTCTGAGGGCTGGAGCCCCTCTGCTGTGAGGACAGGCTGAGAGAGTTGGGGGGTTCAGCCTGGAGAAGAGAAGGCTCCAGGGAGACCTTAGAGCCCCTTCCAGTCCCTCAAGGGGCTCCAGCAGAGATGGGGAGGGACTCTGGATCGGGAAGGGGAGCCATAGGACCCTGGAGAAGAGAAGGCTCCAGGGAGACCTTAGAGCCCCTTCCAGCCCCTCAAGGGGCTCCCTTTTTATTACAAGCCCTGGCAGGAACCATGCAGGTAATAATTTTTCAGTCATTATTGAAAATATGTTAATTCCAGATTTTTATCAGCACATATATCAAAACACCAGAAAAATTATTTGCAGGCAGTATCACCACCAACACAAGAATTCTCAGAATTTTTTAAGATTCCAAGCCCTATTTTGTCCAAATTCCCATCCCCTTAAAACACACTCGTGTCTGTATCCCCACTTTATTCTCAGCCCCTCCAGTTCAGGCTTTAGCCCTGCTCTTCCTCTGCAGCCCCTTAGACTGGTGGTGTCTGTATTGTTCCTCTTCATCAAAATTTTTGCAAGCAACTAATCTTGTCCTATCCTGGTTCCTTTCTGCAGGGAAAGATAACCTAGGATCTCACATCTCCAAGTTGGTGTCCTATCACAAGATTAAAAAGTCATTCTCCAAATAAATGACTAATTAAGCATTTTAGACAAGTTCCAGAAATTCCAAAAGAAGAGACTACACAGAAGCCCCAAGCGAAATATTCAGTACTCTGGGAAGATGGAGAATGTTGATTCATAGAATAATTTTGGTTGGAAAGATCATCTATGAGCCAAAAAAGCTAAGAAATACAGATTGCAGAACCATTTTTAACAATGAATTCATTTTCTTTGTTGCTACTCTGAGGGCTGGAGCCCCTCTGCTGTGAGGACAGGCTGAGAGAGTTGGGGGGTTCAGCCTGGAGAAGAGAAGGCTCCAGGGAGACCTTAGAGCCCCTTCCAGTCCCTCAAGGGGCTCCAGCAGAGATGGGGAGGGACTCTGGATCGGGAAGGGGAGCCATAGGACGAGGAAGGGTTTGACACTGAAAGAGGGGAGATTGAGATGAAATGTGGGGAAGAACTTCTTCGGGGTGAGGGTGGTGAGAGCACCACGTCTGCTCAGCTTTTAAATCCTTCCAGAGATGGTGACTCCACCACCTGGGCAGCCTCTTCCAAGGCTTGACAGCCCTTTCTGGGAAGAAATTTTTCCTAATATCCATCCTAAACGTCCCCTGGTGCAACTTGAGGCCGTTTCCTCTTTGTCCCATGGCCTTTTTCTTGGGAGAAGAGACCGACCCCCCCCCGGCTACACCCTCCTTTCATGGAGTTGGAGAGAGTGAGAAGGTCTCCCCTGATTCAGTGGTGTCAGGCCTGGAAATGCAGCACATCTCTAATAAACTGCCTTGAGGAGTGGGTAAAAGGGTAGAAAGAGATACTTAACAATTGTTTCAGAAACACTTGAAACAGTTCGTTTCAGATACATGGAAGCTTTATTTTGTGAAATCTTGGCTCTATATTTAGTGCCCTTCCTTCACGTACCATACTGGCGAAGATCCAAGCAGAGATTAGCTCCGTCCACCACGGTGGCATTTCGGCAAATGGTCCACAGGTTGAAGTACATGTAAACGGGCAGAGAAGTGAAAGCTGTCACGCCAAGCCAGGCCAACATAAAGATGTATGTCAGCATAATAAACTGCAGAAAAAGAGGGGAAAAAACCAAAATCAGTGGTAAGTCAGAACTTAACCAATACTCCATTGCCAAAAAGGGAATCACAGGGAAGGAACAAATGCATTTCAGTTTGGTTTTGGTCTGATAATCAATTCACAATCTGGTCAAAGGGAGCGATGGAGCACCAACATGACATTTCTGAAGAACAAGTAGTTATGCTTCCACCAGCACAAGCTTTCTCCATGTTCCTGTCTCCCTTGGATCACACCACCACATCTGCAGCACAGAGAGCTGCGGGCTTTGGGAAGAAGGTATCTCCTTCTTTCACATCACCCCTACTCCAGAAGAGGCCATATGGTTGTTTTTTCCACTACCAGTCAGGAGACAAACAACTAGAATGAAATACTATAGGCTTTGCTTGCTTATAAAATCTGGGTCCTCATAAAAAGAAGTCATTGTCCATGGATGCCACAGAATCTCCCCAGCATTGAACCAATAAGGCAATATATTTGTCCTTTTCTTACTGTATTTAGACATATTTGGGGTCTCCATACGTGGGGATTCGTCACTGAGAACAAACTAGGGTGCTTAGTAATAAACACATTAAATTACATGCTTTGCAGCATGTCTTCTCCAAAGGCTACACATTTTCTTGGTTTTATGCTCTCCAGAGAATAGAAATCTGTTTCTAGGAGGCATCAAACTGTACTTGCCATCGGGGCCAGTAGTTTTTCCTGCACACCCAGCTTCTCTAAACACGTAAACACGGCACGTTACTGCTCTGCTGCTAACCTGAGACGACCAGCAGAGACACTTATCAGGAATAAATTAGCTTTTCTTTCTGCGCTGCGGAAAGGACGTGAAGATGTGACATGGTTAAGTGGGGAAGATAAGTCAGCCTTTAAAAATTGAATTCAAATAGCCCCGAGATTTGATGGCTTCAGATATGTCAATGAATCTAAACACATTACTAAGAAAAAAAAAATTCTAACATTTTTCTAGCTGCTTACCACAGAAAAACACTGACTCTGAGAATAAGAAAAAAGAGCTGTTCCTGAAAACTGAGTTATCTAGTCCACAATCTGCTTAAAATTAAATGTTAAAGAGTAAATAAGGGGAAAATGGAAGACTTTTTTTTGTTCTTTTTTAATGTAAGACCTTTCACATCAGGAGATCAAGGAAAAAGCCTATAGTAAATACAGATTTGAGTTATGGAAATCAAGTAAGGTCAGACTTAAAAGGGGTGTAAATTGTTGTAAAAATTTTTAGAGGGGTGGCTTGTTCATGTGGACCTGAGCAGGAAAAGAAATCCAAAACAGCAAAAGGTTTGAATTTTAGGTGAGGTACTTCTATTACTTTGAAGTTATGGGATGGACATTCTCAAGCAATATTAAAGAGACCTTAACTTGATTTACTTTAACTCACTTCCAAGAATATTAAATAAAAGCCATTTTAATTCTGAGGAAGTGTATTTACGTAGGGCTTTAATGTAGTTTAATTAATCCAGTTTAAAATTCAATTCAGATTAATTTTCCCGATAGTCCCTAGGTAGATGACACTTTCAGCAGTAGTTTGAAAAGCCGGAGAATTTATAGCTCTAAAAATAATTATCAGAAAGATGCAGGAAAGTAAAAGATAAAGTGGAACAAGGAACAGAAGTGTTCTGTTTAATACTTTGGGAATCTGCTTTCTATCTTTTTCTTCATCTAGTACTCCTCATAGTGTACAAACCTGCCAGTTTGTACACTATGAACCATTTCAACTTTCCCCTTAACATAAAACTAGTTTAAAAGGGAAAATTATGTGTCTAATATATCTTTAAAGATTTTTGAACATGTATTCATGCAGATAATGGCTGCATTCTTCCTTTCCAACTTTTCCCAGAACCACACTCACTAGAAAATCAACTGAAAAATTAGAGAATGTGATAGTAAAGTCTATAATAAATATACACTCTTGAATATTACAGTAGACTTTTCTGTGTGTCAGTTGCTTTATATAATGGAAATTCTATTCCGTCTATTGCAGAGGAAATAGTCATTACAAGTAAATACTGTTCTGTACACTCTCCTATTTATTTTTTCATTATTGCTTCTTTATTGTTTTCTTTCGTTTTTTCCTCTCCATATTACGGTGTTAAAACTAATGAGACAACATCTGGTTCAACCCCAGGCACTCGTTTACAAATAATTACTTGGAAAATCACTTGGAAATGTAGATTCACTTCAGGGCTATGAATTCCCAAGTAAAACACTATGTCTGATCTTAATTTATTATCAAGCTAAAGACTTGTACTCAAATTTTTCTAAAGCAGGAGCAAGAAGTAAGAAAGCAGGCTCTCTGAGTGCTCTCAAAATAGCCTTTAAATTCTTAGTTTACTATATTCTAGAAGTATTTTTAAAGTAAAACCAGCTTCTTAGCTTATATTCTGTGAGTTTGCCAATAAAAAGGTATGTCTGAAGTCTTACTTTTGAATCGCCTTCTAGAATTTCTGAACTAAATACTATTTAATAAATTTAGTACACCTCTCAGTAGAGTACATGCATAATAATTTAATGGAGAACTAAATCTTTTATAGTAGCTACATTACTGAACTGTAGTAACTGTTTTTAAGACTGGGATCTGCACAGAGTCAGGAATCTTCCTACTCTGGGATTACACCAAATGGAGGAAAAACATCAGCCTTACTATGAGCATTACAATTCCTATTAAATATATTTTTATTTTCTGTTCTGTAGTAGGGATGCCACTCTCTGTAGCCTTGCTTGCTTGAGTAGCTCGCTTAAAAATCTTCACTGAGACAATACAAAGCCTTGGTATAGCAAAAAGGAAAAAAAACAGAGCTTATTAGCCTCTAAAATAATAAACTGCCTTGGGCACAGAATCAGAGCAGGAGAAATCTGTCAGATGATCGCTGCCCGGAGCCACAAGAGCTGTCTGCTCAGAGAGAATTGCCTGCTTGTTTATGGAAGGGATTTTCTCTTTTAAAAACGTATATCTGTTTGTTAGAGTATCTCAGAAAAAGCAAATCAAATGCCGATTTCATTTTAAAACCATTTCTCTTTTAAAAACGTATATCTGTTTGTTGAGTATCTCAGAAAAAGCAAATCAAACGCCGATTTCATTTTAAAACGGTATTTTAGAAAAGGAAGAGCTTCCTTTTTCCTCTCTCAGCCACTTTTGCCTGAAGAGCCAATGTTATGCCCAAATTCATGTCATAACACCAAGATGACACAGGGAAAAAATAGAGAAATGTAATTTGTTTTATATAGGAATAACTAAAATGCAAACCTCACGTTAAATCACTTAGCAGTTATGAGTTATCCCTGGAAGCTGCTATCAGTGAAGCAAACACAAAATGTGGCCTGGGCAATAAAACACTTTCTGCTGTAGGGGCAGGAAAAAACAAAAGGTTAACCTTGCACAACAAGTTATTAGTTTCCAGCAATAGGAGGTGTTAGCTTATAAATTCTTGTTATAACAGAAAGAAATTGAGAATTTATATTTTTTTTAAAACACAGGTGAAGGACTAAAGTATTTTTTTTTAGCTATTTTTCTCTGCTATTAAAATCTTCCCTCTTTTCTCTAGAGACCTTACACAAAATGCTTAAGGAGCCTGTTCACTCCAGGAATTAAATTCAGAAATCAATCTCCTGAGATTCAAAGGGATCTTCCTCCTTTGAAGTAGCGTTCTGCTACGTGACAAGCCAAAGGTTTATGAAATAGCAATACAGCATCTTAAAGAGGCATCACAGTTGGTTCTTTAGCATGCTATATATTGCCTTGGTGGTGAAAATTGCTTTCTCTGATCAGTTCTGTTCTCTCTGTAAGAAACCAAACACATAAACCCAAAACAAACCGTAAGTGAGAGCAAAATCCATCTACCAAATTACAAAGATAAAAGTTCACTAATCAATACTAGGTTGGCATTGGGAAAGAAACTCTAAACTAAATAATTATTTGAACAAACCAAATCTTTAACCTCCGTAGTGGTTAATTTCTTGTACCAACACCATGGATGGGAAAACTCTCTTGCCAGATTTTATAAGCTTTTCATTGCCAGTAATGGCTTTCCTGAACGATAAAATATTCAAGTAAGGAAATCATCAACCCTTCTGGAGCAATATTTTTTATATAATCTTTTGCCCAGACCAATGTCAAGAAGTAGAGGTTTCAGAGCACGTTTTGAAATGCTCTGTATGGATCACAACAGCTTTCATGGTGGTCGTCACTGGCTGAAATCTTGTTTCCACTGAAAACATTACCCAAATCTATCTATTTTAATAAGATCAAGATTTCAGTTGCTGCTTTCCTTTTAAAATTTATGGGTACTTGTCCCATGAAAAGCACATTCATTAAATTTCAAACACTGTTCTTCTTTTAGTTTTGTTATAAATATTTTAACACCCCTGAAGTAACATTATATGACTGCTGCAGTGACCCTGGGGACGGAGACTGCAAAATCATATCTAAAAGATACTGCTACTACAGAGATGGACTGAAAAAGAAATAAAGTAGACTCTAGTCATTTTATTGTACAAGGACACTGCTGTTTACTACAAAAAAGATAAATATAGAAGTGTAGCAAGAAATTCAGAAATGCCTGAATAAAACAACTCCAGAAACCTAATTTAATCTTTGTTCCAAACCGCTTGGTACTTACATTTACACTTAGTCTCAATCCTGTCATTTACTTATTTTATATAAACTCCCTGAGCCCTCAACCCAGAGAGCTGCAAGAAGATGTACACCTTTGTGTTAGGTGTAATAAATCTCATCTAGACTTATTGTCCTGTAACTTCATTGTATACTCTCAGCTTGGATGATCTCAGAGGTTCCTTCCAAATCTTTTCACAGGTTGAGAAATTCTCTTGGACAGTTTTATCAAGAAATCAAACCTGTATCTACAGAGACCATGTACCTCCATCCTGCCAAAAGCCTCTGTGGCTTCATGGCGAAACCTTTCAGGTAGGTTTCACCACGGTGAAACCAGTGCAGAACATAACCTGAAGAGGAGGCCAAGG